ATATATATATATATACATACATATATACATACATACATATGTATATATATAATGACTAAAAAAAAGGAAAAGAAATGAGGAAACTTGCTAAAAATTGGAAAGAAATCAAACGATTGTCATTCGGTTCAGCTTTGCGCCTCTCGTGTGACTCGGGAGCCGCATCGAGTTTTCAGTCATAAGAAAAACCTGCACATGGCTTTTGACGCCCCGCATGACAAACATCTCAAACTTTTGAGTTAGGTTATTTAAAAAAAATAATACAAAAAATATAAATTTGCCTAGACACCTAAAATTCCTAAATACATCAATCCTCCGCAACTCCACCTCGCACGCAGGAACTTGCCAACAAGCCATCCCCACACAAACTTTTCAACTATGTGCCATCATCACAACTCAAGCAACAATGCCTTAGCCTTCTTGCCAAGCCCTTTACTCCGTTAAAACTCTTAATTCACCACATTTTCTTTTCTTGTCAACAACACTTTTCCCTTTTTTTCCCCTTCCTAAACTTAAATTTGTTTTGGCTTTGTGTTTAGGGCTTCCTTTTCTTTGCATTTGATAACCTTTTTAATGAATTAAAATTTTATTTAGAGGTTTTAGAATAGTTAGTTGTAATGATAGAAGTTTAATGGGAAATAGAAAAAACCCAAGATAAAAACATAACGTGTAAGATTAAATAGAAGTGAGTGAAAAGAAATACATTTATTTGAAGTGAAACTACCATGATAAAGTTGTTAAAAGTGTAACCAAAACGAAGGAACATCATTTAGTTCTCATAAGAACACTGTTTTATGTGCCAAAAGGCATAAAAAGACAAAAAAGAAAATTTGTCCTCACATGAATAAAACACTTATGCCAAACCATTCAACACAATGAAATATTTAATGACAAAATGGATAGTGGATCTTATTAAGAAAATGGATTTTGTTGCAATGATTTTTCATCCTCTTTATCACAAATTCAAAATAAAGATGTTAAGAGGACAAATAGACAAATATATGATGAACATAGAGGATGAAAAAGATGATGGTGTGACAGTATCTCGTTGGAAGTCTCCTCAATTTTGCAATATGCTTGTATGCATGTCAAAAGGGATATTGGAAAATTCTTCTATGAAATATTATTCCATTTAATGTTATAGCATCCCCAACTAAATATTATTTTATTTAATGTGACAACTTCCCCATCTTAGATCAATATGATTCGTTGTATATGTTCCTTTAATCAAGGCCTTAAACCAGTATCTATGTATGAGCTTAGGACTTGAGTAGATATTAAAAGAAATATTACATAGCATTGAAAAAAGTTATTGAAGATGTCAAACTTGAACATATATTGGAGTTACTATCATCTCTAATAATTGGTTTGATATAAAAAATGAGTTCAATAAACTTCTCAATTAACAAGTTTTACATCACTTTTTTTTGGTAGTGTTGAAGCGTCAAATTAGTTTAAAGAATTCATATTATATTTTTGGAATTCTTGATAGTCACATAGGAGATTTGAGAGCATTTAGTGATTAAATTTATTATTGAAAATGCCAGTGCTAATAAGGCAGCAAAAAATTAAGCAGCGCATTAGAAAAAGCATATGTATTGGATACTATATGCAATACCTAGATAGATTTAATTTTTTAAATATTTGAACAGTTATAACATAAAAACAACTTAATAAGGAAAAGGATTAGCAAATTCATCTATCATCATAATTG